AATCTTCAACGCGTTCTTGAGTGTTGACGGAGTCACTTCCCAATTCGGCACGCGGATTAATATAACGCCAAAATTTCGCAGGGTCATGAGTAAGGAACTTTTTCAGTGTGACGTTGTAAAATTTGCTCTTCGAGTCTTTCACAAGTATTTTCAAATCATAACTCATGGCGTGAAGTTGCACCCTTTTATCGATATTTGGATTACTTTTAAGGGTTTTCCGATAACGCTTTATTCTTCTCTTTCTTTGAATGATATCTCTAGTGATCCAAGGACTTTTTTTCCTGGTCGTTTTGTATGAGTAGGCACAAACTGATTAATGCAGTGCTGAACGACTTCAACAAAATAGTTCCACAAAACTTCTGTACCGACAGATGTCTGGTTGAGCAACTGAAAATCGTCTAATGACTTTTCAAGGTAGTCTAAAATACTAACATCGTCGGCGGCTTCAAAATTAAGGAATGTTTTACGCGATGGACAGTCGAGTGTGCCGAGATTTGCGTTTAATGTCATGACTATCATTTTGTGATCTGATATTCCCTCATAAATTTCGCAGTTTGGAAGAGCAGCGTTTAGGTTGGCGGAAACAAAGATTAGGTCGAGTAGGGACGAGGTCGTGGAAGACACTCGTGTCTCCCCAGTGACGACTTGCGTCAAGTTATAACAGAAAGCAAGTTCCAGTAGTTGGTCACAACTAGCCACTTCCGCTGTTCCGGCTGAAAGTTTATTCCAATTTATTCCTGGTAAGTTGAAGTCCCCCACTAACAAAATGCTATGAGACCATATTGACTCTTGAAATAGCCCCCATCTCTTAATTCAACACCCTGATCAAAGGAAGTGTAGATCATTAGGCTAATTCATAAAATTTAATAATTATATTTTTAGTAAGTTCAAAGAATCATGTTGGCAATGCAGTGCTGAAGTGCAGCACACTGTGCTGAAATTCGCAACCAAGCTATTGCTTGATTGGAGTGTTCAGTGCCAGTGTAATCTATTTTCAGTTTTGGTAGGGAAATAATTAATTTTAATTGTTTGCACAAGTATTTCAATTAAATTATCAAACAAGCAATAATACTGGTTTTAACAAGACTCGTTGCAACAGCAGAGAACATATCTTGGGTCATGCTTGGTCACCCGTATTAGAGAAATTTAATATTGTTTTAATTTTCTTACTTGGAGGCGTTTTTTCTATAAGAAGTAAGTGCCGGGAGCGATAAGAGCCCAGGAACCATGACTTCGGCATCGCAGCAGACAACTAAAACGAAACTGCCTTTGGTGATATAATGCAACCGCTTGAAAACATCACGTTGCCCAAGTCAGAAAGTTAAAAAGACCCGCGTTGAGAGTTTTAGTAGATCGTTCAGTCACTTCCGCAACTCTAGAACCAATCCGTTTTGGTTATGGCCTCCGCTATATATACCGTAGCGGAGTCGCGTTTTTATGTTTTAGAGAACGTTTGCATCCCGGTGCAGAATATAGCGTTACGAGAGCAAACAATAAAGCAAAAATAAAAGTTTGTACAGCAATTGTCAGTAATCTTCTACTCATGTCGCTATCTAAATAGAACGTAAATTTATTATCGAGTAAGTTTATGTTCATCCTTGCTTCTTTTAAAAGTGCGTCCAGTACGTTTGCGACGAGTAGACTTGAGATCCACGTTGCTGACGCCAAGTTTGCTTGGTCGTGTACTACAGCCGCGCTCGTTTTGCGACACGAGAGGAACCGCGCGATAATATACTAAGTCAGCCGCATAAACAAAAAAAACAAAAAGTAACAATTTTTTTTTGTTGTTTTTGCGAGTGCGTTGTTTTTTTATGTAGCACACAGTAGCAGGAGATGCCGCACAAACTAAAAAAGCGGCGGTGAACCGTCCGCTGTGGTGAATCATCCGTTCCTTTAAGACCGCGGATCCGGCCTCCCTCCCCTACTTCGCCCCGCAACCAGAATGGAATGTCTTCCAAGTGGACTCTTCCCGAATGAATAGTTGACCTTGTTCCCGGATCCGTTGCTTCGTTCCTTCGCCGCATCGTCATTTCAGTGGCATTTCTTGTGCGGGGCTATGGTATTTAGAAAAAAATAATAATAACGCGTGTTCCTGCAAGCCGGTCATGGTCCCAATGTTGACGGACTACGACGTGTGTCGAACGCAGTCGCTTGCCGCAACGGAGTGCTCGTTCTTATCGACTGAATATGCTGTTCTGTTTTACACAGAACTGAAATAAACGCCGCCCGGATTACCTTTCGCGGTATGGTACGTACGCTTTATTTCAAGAATATATGTTTCTCGCGGAGGTGACGGGGCTAGGAACGCAGAGACGGGTCGACTTGAATCTTAGGAACTACGTGATCAGGCAAAAAAAAAAAAACAAGATCACGACGATTTATTTTCTGTGCGCCCTACTTGTTATTAATGTTTAAAGCAAATAGGCAGGCGATCTGGTTAAGGATAGATAAACATAATTTCGTCTGCCCGTCCTTTTTTTTTTTTTTTCCTCGCTCCAGGGTTACTATGTCTACTTGTCATGCAGCAAGTAACACGACGAAAGTGGTCGTACTTGCCATGCCAGTGATAAGTCGTCACCTGTACTTATCACAGCTGCAAAGTTTCATCCACCATGAACAAGCGCGATCTCGAAGCGGGCACATACGGCGTGATTCTCGCGAGACACACACCGCGCTACGCGCCACGCTTTTTTTTTTTTTTTTGTTAAACTAGTGTACCTTTGCTGGCCCCCGCAGCTCCGCTTTTTCTCTCCTAGCACCGCGCATGGGCAGTAGTTTGATTGCTCTAAATGACGGTAACCAAAGCCTCAAGTTGCCGTCACCGCCACTGAACATGTTCGCGGCGGCAGCGGCGGTTCGACCGCCGCTGCCGCCGCAAAAATGGGGGAGGAATTTTTGTCCCTTTCTCAGGCGCCACCAGGTGGCGTTGCATCTAAATCGGTGATCGGAGAGGATTGGAGGATAGACTAGAGAAGAGTGGGCTTGGGTTCAACCTTTCTTACAGTAAGCTAGGCCAAAAAATTCAGCAATCCTTACCGGGATTGATGTATGCGGATGATATTGTACTAATGGCTAACAACAGGACAGAGTTGCAGGAATTAATGAGCATCTGTGGTAGGGAAGGAGAGGAATTAGGTTTAGAATTCAGTAGCGAAAAATCGGCAGTCATGATTTTTAACGAGGATGAAGTTGAGAGGCTGAAGATACAGAATATTACAGTTGAGAGAGCTAGTAAATACAAGTATCTAGGAGTATGGATATGTGATGGTGCAGAATATCTCAGAGACCATGAAAAGTATATAATAGGTAAGGGCAACAGAAATGCAGCTGTAATGAAAAATAGAGCACTTTGGAATTACAACAGGTATGAGGTGGTGAGAGAGATTTGGAAAGGGGTCATGGTGCCTGGCTTGACTTTTGGAAACGCAGTGCTATGCATGAAATCCGAAGTGCATGCGAGACTAGAAATAAAACAGCGCGGAGTAGGTAGACTGGCTTTGGGGGCACATTGCAAAACGCCAAACCAGGGAGTACAAGGAGACATGGGATGGGCATCATTTGAGAGCAGGGAAGCGGTGAGCAAGGTAGAATTTGAGGATAGGTTGAGGCAAATGGACGGGGAGCAATGGGCACGAAAGGTTTTCAGCTATTTATACATGAGGAGTGTAGACACAAAGTGGAGACAGCGCACTAGGAAATTAAGAGGAAAGTTTTTGGGCTATAGCGAAGATACGGAAGAGCAAGTCTCAGTTAAGAAGAAAGTTAAGGCCACAGAAAGAGATTGGTGGCTAGAGGGAATGCAGACAAAGACGGCTCTGGAAAGCTATAGATTAAACAAAAGAGTTATTGCCAAAGAAAGCATTTATGACAATTCTAGGGGAAGCTCATTGCTGTTTGAGGCAAGAACGGGTGTTCTGCGAACCAGAACATACAGAGTGAAGTACCAGGAAATTGATACAGTGTGCACTGCTTGTGGAGAGGAGGACGAGACGGCTGAACACTTGATACTCTACTGTAAAGGGCTTCACCCTATGCCTACCGAAGACAACATAGATTTAATAAAGTCATTGGGTTTTAGAGACAGCGAAGGGAGAGTGGATTTCAAGACTGTAGAGATTACCAAGCAAAGATTAAGTGAATGGTGGCAGAAATCGAGAGAAAACTAGGTATTTTCTTATCCACTGATGGCAAGGGGGTTTCATAGCCTCACTTTCTTTGCACTGCGGAGTGAATATAGATTTCACATTTAAATATTCTAAGCTTAAATGGTAAAACAAAATGGCTAGGTGGCGTAAGCTACCGCCCGATCCAAAGGGCTCAGCCGTATTCATCCATCCATCCATGAAATGGAGGAACGGGTGCAATTTCCTCCCTCCCGTTGGCGACAGAGAGGAACATCGATTTTTCTTCCATTTCTCCTCCCTTTTTTTTAAAGTGTACAGCTCCGCTGCTCTTCCTTCTTCACCAAAGTGGAAAGGCTGAAAGTATTTTTTTTTTCGGCTTGTTCCAGATGTATTCAGCACACACCTTTTGCTTACACTTACCGCAGAATTGGTTATCGTGGAGTACAGTTTATTTTATTGTGGTATGTTTTGAAAACTTCCTTCATAAGTGCTTGGCCACACAATTTAGCGTACGGAGAACAATTTCTTTACGAGAGAGCGCGTTCGGCAACCTCGGCAGCAGCGAAACGTGGCCGTCCACGCCAGTACAACGCAGACTAACTAAAGGACCGGAAGAACGACATTCATGCTTTCGCATTCATAACTCATAAGTTATGAATGTTCTCGCATTCGTAACTCGGAATTTTTTATGTACTCGCCACAAACCTAATGCCATCTGTTCGCATTCCCTTTCGCTGCAAGCAAATAGAAGGTGCGATGAACTGATCACGATACCGAGAACAATTCTCCTCACTTCTTTTGCAACGACTCTTTATTGCGAGGAGAGACGCGGTTTGGCAGGATTGATCTACTTGATCGCGGCTGCGAAAGCACACGATGACCAAACTCCAGCTGCTGTGCGCAGTCTTTTTCGGAATATTACGAATGTCGTACTCGGAGGAGGTCGACGGCTTTAAGCTAACTGTGTTGCACACCAACGATATTCACGCTCATTTCGAAGAAAGCAACAAGTACGGTGGTAGATGCGAACTCTCCGACAAAAAGAAGAAAAAATGTGTTGGCGGGGTGGCCAGACTACTCACGAAGGTAAGTTCAAACCAAACGGTGAAAACTGCTCTCCGTGTAGTTTCCTCCAATATTCGTTGAAGCGTTTGAAGCTTTTTACAACAGAAACAAATAAATAAATACGTTTGTAGGGCAGGTAAACCTTTTTTCTGTACTATTTTTGTTGATAAATTTAGAGATATAAGGCTTTACCTTTAGTTTACCTAAATGTGGTGGCTGGAAATTTTACCGGCCATTCTTTGGAGAGGGGAGAATGGGAAAAAATAATTTCTAACCCCATCAGCCCAAAAGGCAGAACCTATCTGGTCTCCATTGGACTCGCAATATGGGTGTACATTGCTCACATTTTATGTTTACTTTTCATAATTTGAATCTCCAGGAGTGTGCAGTGTGCACAAATCAAGCATAAATTTTATTTCTAATTTTACTTCACTGTATTTAATGTAGCAATCTCTCTACAACAGTCATTAATTTTTTTTCCTTTTCTTTTTTTTACTAAAGGTGAAAGAAATCAAAGCCAGCAATAACCACACCTTGTTTATGAACGCGGGTGACATTTACCAGGGCACAATGTGGTTCACTTTGCTCAAAGATGAAGTGGTCTCGGTTGTCATGGCTAACATGAAGTACGACGTGATGGTGAGCTATACCTCAAATAATGGCCATGTTTCTGAAAACCCAAACCCCGCGGGTGTCGGAATGCTCTACGTTTCACTACTCACTTCTAAAAAAAATATATTCACTACTCACTACAACATTTGGTCCTGCGGACTGGACTGTCTCGACGCTAACAGCAGTTTTAAATTTAGACTTCCTGATCTTAATCATTTCCGGATCTTCTTTCGTACTTAGGTAGCTATCGATGATGTCCTCAAGGCACTGCGAGAAACCCGTTTGTTTTACTGGCCCTTCCCGAACCTTTCTGAAAAATCAATATGAAGTGTTTAATAAACATACACGCGGTGTAAGAACTCACCCTATACTGTTACGCACGACTTATAATTCTTCTTTTTTAAGTTCTGGTATGTAAAAAGTGTATAGTATTTATTTTGTTATTTTCAAAAGAAATGAGGCTGCTATATAATTGAAGATATGCTCACGCCCGATCATGCCAATTTAAAATTTACGTTTTTTTACTTAAAAGTGCCTTGGGAACCACGAGTTTGACAATGGACCAGAAGGACTTGCACCATTCCTTAAAAAAATGAAAAAGGCGAAAGTTCCGGTTGTGAGTAGCAACACTGACTTTACGCGTACGTCGAGCCTGAAAGACCTTGAACTTCCAAAATCTCACGTGTTTGTCCTCAATGGAACAAAGGTTGGCGTCATAGGCGCCGTCACACCAGAAACGAGGTCTCTCTCGAAACCAGGTGAGAAGACAAAAATTGACCGCATCTCCACGTAGTGAACGATGTTGATTGGGGCGAAGGTCTGGTGGCGCTTGTCTGCGTAGACGCTGAGCCGCAGCATGCCGAGCTTTTCGTTCGTTTTCATCCATGTCAGAAAGATAATGTGTGGTATAGAACGTGGTTATATACGCATTTGACCGCAGCGCCCTCTCGTCTATAAACGTTGAGCCAATGCATGCAAAGTTTAACGCGATTATATACGCATTTGACCGCAGCGCCCTCTCCTGTATAGACGTTGAGCGGCTACATGCAACGTTTCATCCATGACATCCCCAGCTCTTGAGTTACTACCACATCTCAGAGCCCCCTACTCGTCCCGCAGTCATGGCCGAGTAGTTAAGGCGATGGACTAGCAATCCATTGGGGTCTCCCTACACAGGTTCGAATCCTGTCGACTGCGGAAACATTTTTTTTTCATCATTTTTTTTTTAATTTTTTGCCCTACACAAGCACGTGAGCACGTGAGCTCATGAGCACGAGCACCAGCAAGATCGATGTGAGCACGGACGCCGGACGGACAAGGCTAGACCCTAAGGAGCTTCACCCCTCAAATTGAGATGAACATTATATTTTGTTGCATGGAGTGATAATATGTCTTCCTAAAACAGACGAGAGCAAACAAATAGTTTTTAAAGTGGCTTTAAAAGGGTTGTCACGATCTCATCTAGCACTGATTACAATGCCCAATCTTGGTAATTAAAAAAACATTACATTTTTCTTTCATACAAAGTTGTTTGGTGGAGATATTAAACACAACTCAAAACACCGTTAATCTTCTTAACCTATAACAAGAACAAGCAACCATGCCACCTGATTTGTTTTACGTTGGCGATGGTCATCGTTGTCAGGCGTTGGAGTAGGCAGGGCAGATGACACGTGCCATGCTTCACCCACTTTTAGTTCTTTGAATTTAACTACGTAAACAGCACGAGTCCTATCCCGATCGAATTCGCAGCGATGGTGGTACCGCGGTGTGAGAATCGCGCTCCTCAGCTCCTGGATGATGGGCTTCAGAATAAAGGTGCTTGCCTACACCTCCCTGACGTGAAAAAAATTAACTAAGGCTCTAATGCTGCTCGTATATAGCAAAACTAGATTTACTTACGCGTCGCAGACCCAGCCTCGTACTGCTGTTCTACGACGATCATCCAGATGACAGCCATTTTGAAAGGCACCAGTGCGCCCCCTATTGGCCGTGAAAGTTGTGAATACTTATAGTTAGGGTTCCGCGTTTTCGGTTTTTATTTTGTCGAAATTCGGCGCACTTTTTTCGGTGTTTACTTAAAAATTCAAATTTCGTTTTTTTTTTCGGTGTATATTTATTCCCAAAACTGTTTACCGTTTCTTTTTTTTTTTTTTTTGGTAAATATAAAAGAGAAACTATCGGACACCGGATCAGGTGATCCTTGTAGCTGTGATATTTGCGATCACTCAAAGGATAACGACAGATATACATACAGGACCTTCGCTACAACTTCCGTCAGGACACACCTCAGAATCGCGGAATTCGCGGGCATAATCTTCAGCGCGCTTCTTTTTTCTTCCCATTCTGACGGCGTGACCGTCTGAGGTGATGACAGTACAAAGACCAGCGGAATGAAAAAAAAAAATTCATCGTATTTATGTTTTTAATCACAGGGACGTTTGAGAAAGCGTGTTAAGAAAGGTATTAACGGCTTTCCTCGATGTTCTCTGAAGTGCATGAAGCGAAAAACCTTATACTAGCCCACATCCGAACTTTTTTTGGGGGGACCGGGAACTTGACAGACTAAGCCCGATCACAGAAAGGACACAGATGTCCCGCGAAGGCCAATCCACGACCTCTTTTGTTGCATGTTGAACCTTGGAAGAGAGCAATCACGAAGACGTCACAAAATGTCGAACCTCGCAAAGCCCCCTCTCTCTCTGCCTCCCCCACCCACCTCGACGCGGCCATAAAAAACTGACCTTTCTCAGTTAAAACCGAATTCTAGAAAACGAAATAGACGTACTTTTATCGATTTTTATCGGTTTAAACCGAAAACGCCGAGCCTACAAAATTCGGTTAAAACCGAATTTTCGAAAATGGATTCCGCATACATTTGTCGGTGTCTATCGGTTTAAACCAAAAACTCCGAACCCTACTTATAGTATACTGAAGCATGGCTTGTACACAAGCTCGCATAGAGTGTTGACACTGTGCTCTTGTTCACGACATTAGCCATGTTAGGCTGTTTTCATACCAAGCAGATATCTCTCGCTTTTCAGTTGTGGTGAACAATTCAGGAATACTATTTACATGTATTGTTGATGTCTGCACTTCTGCTGCACGGCTGCCATTTCAGTGATGTTGAAACATAAAAGCAGTTCACTAGTCGTGCATAGCTTGCAGAAGAACTCTTTCATTTCCAGCACTTAAGGTTACCCTTTCAAAAATGTCAATACTCGAAAACTACTTTCAAAAGCAGCAAGCATGAGGAACAAACGAGATTGTTTGCCTTCGACCTTTCAATAGGCAACCCATCTGTGTAAAAATTATAGGGACGCATCTATTGGTTCTTCATTACGTTTGCTCTTTCTATTTACGCTTTGCACCAACACGCTCCCTTGACTTTGTGAGTGCGTTGTACCGGTCTATTTTTTTTTTTTTTTCTGTTATTTACGTTACTTTCGCCAGCACAATCCTTTTCATAAAAGAGCTGCACCTGCCAGCTTTCTGCTTTTTGTGTTTCACTTTCCTTCGTACTTGCTTTAAGGGTTGGTTCGCACACTTGCCACTGCTAACAACCGTAAAAGGCTAAGTCTCCTCAGCGATTGTGCGCGAAGGTTATTGACTCCTTACTCGCCCAAGCGCGTCGTGGTGCCGAAGGGAGCATGCACTGGCGGCCATAGTTTAGTGCGTTCATGCACAGCGCGAGGCTACGATTTGCTTCCACGACGTTTTTGCAAAGTGCGTTGCACACCACCAAGATTGTAGTTCTGAACCTGCGCTGAGCCTGCGTTCGTCGTGCCTAACTCGCTTTTCGGCTGGTAGCTTTATCAGTGTGTATTATCATTTGCTACAGATATGTTGTGTCTATGAAGCAAAGCATTAAAACAACCTATACTGATCGGAACTGCTTTTGCGACTAGGCCAGTCGACCGTTTTGAGGTTTCGCGGCATGATATATGCGTCACACGATAGCCAGGCAGCTGATCACAAGGGTTTCTACCATGCTGGTAGTTCAGGTTTCTCCGTAGATCCCTGAAACAAGACGTTGAGACAAGATATCTACAAAACAGCACAAGGCCACGAAAAAAATGACATTTCGTAATTCAGTCACCTTCCCTTACTAGCGACATGAAAGGCTAAAAAACAATATAAGTTTCTTGCGACTGTCTACGGCCGCTGCGCTGGTCGTAAGAAGTCACGAGAGGTTTAAGCCGGTTATTAGCCTCTCTGGTCGTAAGCAGTCAAAAGTCTGTGAACCGTACGCGTTCGTATCAGGCTATGAAAGAGTTGTACTTTTCTGTCCCCCGTTCTTCTAATATATTCAGTATCTGAACGTTGATTTTAGTGAAACTTTCTCTTTTTCGCAATATTAAGCACAAAAGTCAGCAAAGTTTGTATATACATATTTGCAGCTTGCGACTTTACTCCGTTCACCCTTAATGAGTAACTCCGGCACATTTTCTCGTTTTTAGGCTTCAGACGGATTCAGTAAAGCAGGGGTTCTCAACCATCCATGTTTCGTGGACCCCTTGTAAGTCGGCGGAGATGATGGAGGACCCCGTTCGTGGTGAGGGAAGGGGAAAGGTGTAGGTTAAATATAATAATGACTTAATAAATGAATATGACTAAGGGCTAGTGGGAAGTAGACGTTTCTTATTCACATACACACGAGAAAACTCGCCCGGAAATGGAAAAATTCCTTCTCGATCTGAAAAAAAGACAACTTTCCTTGCCGGGCTTGACTGAGGAGGCAGGGCTTCCCGGACCCCTAAAATTCCTCCGCGGACCCCCATTTGAGAACCACTGCAGTAAAGGAAGGTCCCTGAATTCCGAGGTGTCCTTTTTTTCGAGGCCTTGTGCAGTTTTGTAGATATCCAATATTTTGTTTCCGGGATCTACGAAGAAACCTAAACTACCGGCTCGAGCATGGTGGCAGCCCTTGTTATCAGCTGCAAGGCCATCGTGTGCCGCAGATATTGTACCGCGATACCGCAAAACGTACGACTGAACTACTTGCAAGAGCTGTTCTGATCAGTTAGGCTGCTTTAATGATTTTCTTCGCAGACATAAAACATCTGTAGCGATTCGGGGAGAAGTCGTCCTAACGCCACGGGGTAAGTAGAGTCTGAAACTCGACGCCGACGCAAGCGTATTTCCGACCTTCCCGGAATATCTCCCGCGTTCGGAAAGGAAGCCTGAAAGTAGGGAGTCACCTGCGACTCCTCTGTGCAAGGATGTCCTGGATGGCCGGTTAGCAGTGGCATTCCCCTGATAAGGCTGCACATACGGTAGAAACTCGCTTTGGTTGTAGTAACCGGATTGTAGTGGCGCCGACGAATTCGGGATGTTTAAAACGTTTCACGCTGTCAGTACGGCTAAGGCGGCAGCAATTCGCAATACCACAAAGCCTATGCCAAAATGGTCCTACCGCTTATCATGCTCAAATTGTATTTTTTTTTATTGGCGAAAGGGCAAAAGCCAACCGAAAACCATACTGAACCTCGAGAGGAGTCGGAACTCGCAAGCAGCGGCGGACCAGTTGCAGACGAAAACGTGTGGATTAATGCGCCGGCAGCGCCACCTCGCTGCAAAACAATCGGACACGGTTTTGGACCCCTTCCAATGTAAAGCGTATATGGGAAGATTTTTGAGGCCTCTATAACTTCGCGTACATTGCGGATTGTAAACGTTTAAATTTAATATCGAAATGCCGGAATGGATTACTGATGTAGTGATAAACAAGAATCGTAAGTGTGCGATGCTAAGACGCTATGATATATTGGTGCACTGTAGACACTTTAAACAATCGCTAGACTAAGCCGCCCTTGCCGACCTTCTCTTGTCTTACCGAGATGCCCATCCGCTAAAACTAGCGTTGACTTGCCCCCACTAAAGCCTATGCTGAGAAGGACACAGTAGCACCTAAGGTGGTAATAACCTGTCCTCTTGTGGCAATGATAAAGCGGAGCGGACGGAATAAGAGAAAACAAAAACTGTAGGTCGGTTATGGCGGCGCCCATGCAGAGATGCCTGGAAGCGTCTATATTCGTGGGACAGGCACACGCAAAGGCAACTTATACCCGTGCCACACGGGCAACTCGAATGTCATTTACAACGAATCACATTTGTGTGATCGGCGAATCAGTTGGCAATCTGTCACGCGTGGAATGTGCCACGCCCGGAGTATCGCGCGCTGATTGGCCGTCCGCTCAAATGTCATTCGGTGTGAATGGCACTCGAGTTGTCCGTGTGGCACGGGTATTAGCTACACACGAGGAGTTCCATATATGCCGTTACCATTAGATTATGCTGGTGTGAAGAAGTACGTACAATTACATTATGAAAATTTGCCTTTTACTGTATGATGTACGTTCCTGCAGCCTGACACTTATCTGCTTTCACAGCATTATATTTTGACCGCCAAAGGTTCTGACCATACGTAGTGGTTTCAGAGCGAGCGAAGAACTCAGTCTTAGGTATTAGAGCTTTGGCACGATTCTATGGCAGCGCTAGGTGACTGATACTGAAGCGCTGCAATAGGTACAAGTTCTTAGTATCTGAAAGTACGACATTGGACATTACTTGGCAGATAGAACATAACTTTATTGCCTAAGCATGGAAGTCTCTCAATGGTTCCTTGGAGCTCAGTTTGCAGATAACAGACGCTTAGCATGAAAGCAACACGACGGACAGGCGAATTTCTCACCTGAGTTTTTTTTTTTTTTGCAGGAAACGTTGTATTTTACGATGACCTTGGATCTATTAGAAACGAGGCCATAAACCTGACAAAGCAGGGAATAACTGTCATCGTGGCTCTCACTCACAGTGGCTACGAGAGAGATTTAGAGATCGCTGCATCCGTGCCCCAAGTCGACATTGTTGTTGGAGGGCACACGAATACCTTCCTTTATTCAGGTAAGACCGGCCCGGAATGTCATGATGGAAATATCATAAATCAATCGTGGTCTCCCATCGTCGTCGCCAACACGTATTTGCTACCTCCGTTCAAACACTGTACAAGAACGAACAATTCCCGCAGCTTCCGAGCCTTTCGATCGAGGTCCAATATGTTTCAATATTAATTTTTTTTTCTAAAACAATAGGTGACTGAAACATTTTACTAAGTGAGATAGTTAAATGAGCTACAGTTGAACAATTCGGTGATGCCTGTTTTTTTTTTGTTTTTTTTTTACATTTATAAATGTGTTGCGCTCGCACAAATCCTTACAAGTCATTGTTTATAGCATATACTTTTTGGTGTTCGTTAGTGCTTTAAAAATTACCATGAGTCATCCCGTGGTATTCTATTTTATCGTTATTTTGGTTCCGCAGTGGTCATGGTGCCATTTATTTGTTGATTGCCTCTGTCACTATGATACTATAAATTGTGGTTTATTGCCTGGTGATATGAACGGTAATGATTGTAAAATCTCTATAGTTCAATCTACATTCTTGAAGCCTGTTTGGCCTGGAAATTGCCTGAAAAAGATTGCAAATAAAAAAAATTGTCTTTTGCTTAGTCTTTTATATTTATGCATTTTCGGTGATTTTTTAACACATCGTAGAATTCAGTTTTTAAGCTGAGTCATATTGTTCAGTGTATTTCATTCGTAGTTTACCTCTAACAATAAAGTAAGCGCTCAACTATTGTAAGTGATTTTTTTCATTCTGCTCGGAAGTTGTTTTTTTTTTTTTTTTTTTTTTTAATATTGCAATGTCAAAATTAAGCATTTTTTGTTCCTCAACTGAAAAAGAAAAAAGAAACATCCTCGATTGCTCACAAAGCATCCCTCCATGAACCCTTAAACACCGGTAATTCAAATTCCGCAGAATTATGTTGCATTGTGTTGTTTTGAATTAAAAAAAAATAAATGCTTAGCCAGGTCTATAGGGTGGCTGAAATAACCAGGCTTGATCTAAAATGGGCCGTAAAAGTCGGCACATGCACGTAGCAATCTAAACTTTTCGTCACAGGTGTACTTCACAGGTCGGTTTTATTCTTTAAAATTAGAAAGCGTAACTCCCTCTCTGTAAAAATATGGCTAAAAAAGTTCCCAGGGTCAACGGCGGACGGCGATGCCGACGATCGAATCGAGTGGCGGGGCGCTATTGGCGTAAATATTGATAGATGACACTACCTCTTTATCAAGACTACTCGCGATGACCGTAGTTTATTAAAATTTACACAATATTTTATCTGACGTACCTTTAATTTAAAAATAAGCACGGACAGTGAGAGCACAACTTCAAGGAAAAACTTCGTTAAAACGCGGTTACATACCGACGACACTCTTGCTGCTGGCGGATTTCATCTGCGTGTCGTCTGCTTTCATTCGTTGGTCGGCTTCACCTTCCGACGCTGCTCCCGGCGCCATCTATCAATACGAACGCCAAACACACCCCGGCACTCGGCTCGGTCGTCTGCATCGCCGTCCGCCTTTGACCCTGACAATTTTTTGCCTTATTTTTTTACAGAAAGAGAGCTACGCTTTCCGATTTTATAGAATAAAACTGACTTCTGAAATACTCCTTTGACGAAAATTTTAGTCTACTACGTGGAGGCATCGATTTTTACGGACCCTTTAGTGTTGAGCCTAGCTAATTCTGGACCCTATATATAGGGTGTCCCAAGTCACCAGGCTCGATCTAAAATGGACCGTAAAAACCGACGCCAGCACGTAGCAGTATAAAACTTTTCGTCAAAGCTGTATTTCACCCGTCGGTTTGTTCTTGTAAAATTATAGAACGTAGCTCTCTTTCTGTAAAAATGGAGTCAAGAAACTTGCCAGGCTCGACAACGCTTGGCGACGCAGACGACCGAGTCGAGTTGCATGGTGTGTTTGGCGCCCGTATTGACAGATCGCGCTGACTTTTAGTTCCGGCTTACTTATAAAGAAATATCGAAAGTGCCCACGCCGACCGTGGTTTATTAATATGAACATAACCTTTTTGTAATGTACCTTTGGCTTAAATAATGCAGACAATGATAGCAAAACTTGAAGTAGCAAACATAAAATAAAACGGGGTTGCATAACGACGGCGCTGACGGCGCTCTTACTGCCGACGCATTTCTTCTACGTGTCGTCTGCTTTTTTTCGCTGGTCGGTTGCATCCTCCAACGCTGCTTCCGAGACTTTTTTGTCACGGCTGATGAGAAAACATCCATAATGCGTCACTTTGGGGCGCTTCTTGGACCGCACTTTTGAGACACGGAAGGCTACCGAAGCGAACTCCAGAGCCGGTCAACAAAAGCCCGCGGTTTTCGCGGTTATCAAAGGCGCTGGTCATCTGTACAAAATGGTTACATATGCGCTCTTCAGTCAACATGTCCACCTCGAACTTGGAGGCACTTGTGCAGTCTTCGCTCCTAATCCCTGAAGTTTGCCTCCGGCATGTTGTCTGTGCTGGACGCTATCACGGAACTAAAAGGCGGATATAATCCGCTCTTTTAAATCCGTCATCAAGCACACGCGACTTGTGTAGACCTGGGCTTTACGAAACTCCAAATAAAAGAATCACAAATTGTCAGGTCAGGGGACCGTGGGGGCCAGGGAATTGACTGTGACTCTCGACCCATCCCGTTGCCGGGCAATGTCCTGTCAAGCCAGCCCCTCACTGCTGTGGCGTAGTGCGGGGTTCCTCCGTCTTGCTGGAAGATGCACACCTCCCTTTGCATATACGAAGTTTCCAGCTCCGGCATGACGTCCTGATGGAGCGTTCGAAGGTAGGCGTTGCCGATGACTGTGTCCTCAGAGAAGAATGAACCGACAACGCCTTCCCCCCCAAAGTCCACACGATACTACGACCTTTGGTGACTGGACAGCCTCTTCAATGATCCAGTGAGGGTTTGTCTCGGACCAGCTGCGAGTGTTCTGCTTGTTCACGTACGTGTCTGTCCAAATGGAAAATAGCTACACCCGTGAGAACCAGAAACAGAAAGTGGTTCCCGTTTTTAGAAATGCGCCCAAGTTCTTCCAGGCAGAATTGTTTTCGCCATTCATAGTCATCTGGCTGCAGCTCGAACAGGGCCAGTGGCTTGAACGGATACATTTGTTGGGGATCACCCTCCACACGAAATTTTACTGATATCAAGTTGTCTTGCGACTTGTCGCACGGACAGCCGTAAGTTGAATGCAAATGCCGCAAGCACGGCGTGACGTTTGTTCTGCTGTGGCGACCTCTCTTCGAGTACTCGCAGCCTGGTCTCCGCATTGTTTTCCGTGTTGGATCAGTACTCAGCGCGTGGTAGTCCGACGGGTGGGTGAACGCCTACGAAAAGTGGCTCGAAACTTCGAGCTCACTTGCCTCATGCTCCTGGCTTCTGTAAACCAAAGGACTACCTGTGCACTCTCTTGGACGGTCAGGTGACGCATCGTGGCTGTTTTCCCACCAACAGTGACAAAAAAAGTATCGAGAGCAGCATCAGAACATGTAACCAACCAGCGAAAGAAAACAGACGACACGCAGAAACAATCCGCTGGCAGGAAGAGCGCCGTCAGCGCCGTCGTTATGCAACCGCGTTTTCTTTTATTCTTGTTACTTCAGATTTGGCTACCGTTGTCTGTATTTATTTTTAAGCCAAGAATACATTACAAAAAGATTATGTTCATATTAATAAACCACGGTCAACGCGGGCACTTTCGATATTTCTTTAAAAGCCAGCCCGAAAAATAAGGTAGCGTCATCTATCAATACCCGCCGCCACCCGCCGCTAAGCCTGGAAAGTTTCTTGGCCCTATTTTTTACAGAAAGGGGGCTACGCTTTGACATTTTACAAGAAAAAAACGACGTGAGAAACACACGTTTGACGAAACGTTTTGATTGCTACGTGCAAGCGTCGATATACGGTTTATCGTGGATCGAGCCTGGTGACTTCGGACACCGTATAATGTGGTCCAGGGGTCTCATACTCTTTCGAGTGTGGGGGCCAGATAGCCCACCCCCTAAAAGGACAAAGGCCAGTGGAGGCGGGTGGCAATATTTTGCTATTTTGGGACAAAAATTAAACAAACGAACAGCATTAGTGTTTAAAAAGCTGACTGTACCAGCGACACGCCAATGATGTTTTAGACACGAAACCTTATGCTTTATGCTTTTTGTGAGTTCATTGTTTTGCTAAGTTTAGCTTTTATTTGCATATAAGACTACTTTGGGCCCACGCCTGATGTTATAAACAGATTTAAAACACCGCCATGCCATAGTACTGGCAGTTTTCAACAAAACCAGAGGAAGCGCACCATCCTTTGCCCCTCGCACAATTATAACTCAAAGCAAGCTGCCTTGAGGTCAACCCACTCCCTTTGAATGAGAGCCGGTCAGGACTCTACGTCGTTCTGATGTCACTGCAACCCCTGCAAAAGAAGCAGACAAACTTGTGCTCCGCGTTCCTCGCAGCGTCCTCTTTGGTCCATCGTAAGGTAAAACAGAGTATAGAAGCAGACGACGTTACGGGATATTATACCCCGAACGATGACGGCCGTGGCGAGGGCAGAACAATAACAAGTTATGTCTAAAAAAGGGACGAAGAAGTGTAAATCTAGGTAGGGTGTCACTGGTCCAGCGTTGCGCAGTCACGCAGTGGATGCCTCTGGTGTTTGTAACGCCACTGCACATCGGGTAATTTTTGCACCACTCAGGAAGGCCATGGGTAGACTTAAAAATAGGGCTGCGCCGAGTGGAAGTATCTCTTTCCTCAATCATACATTCAGCATGTAATAGAGACCCCCAGATAAAGTAATATAGCTAAGAATGTTTTTAATCATTGTCAGAATATTTTTTAATTGGTCAGACATTTGCGTACCAATATCTAAAAGTTCGCTCAACGTGCCATGTTTGAGAGTTCTTACATATATAAGTATCGTTATGAACAACATATGTTATCAGCGGGAACTGACCTGTATCCAGACATTGTTTCT